ATTCCCAGGTCAAATAATGTGCAGTAAATATTATAGATTTTTAACTACCTAACATATAATTCACTGTCTGCCAACATGTTCACATTTTCTACATGCATTTGAGGGTAAGTAAAAAAATATGTACCACTATAAACTTTTATTAAACACACACATCGCAATGTGAACTTACTGTTTCCTGGCATATCCTCCATCTAGGTCTACACACTTCTGAAAGCAGTGTTTCCATCTCTCTAACCCTTCCCTGAAGAATTCTGTGCTCTTCGAGTTACAATGTGTTAAAATCTAAGGAGTAGCATCCTAAATGGGTCCAAAGCATATTCTTTTTTACATGTTCTCAGTTTAAGGAACAAAAGGAAGTCTGCAGGGGCACGATCAGGGCTGCAGGGTTCATGGGGTAAGGTTTCACATAAGACAGTCCTTGCTACCTTTGAAGAACTAGCACGTACATTGTCATGATGGGGAAAAAAACCCTTGACATAACTTTTCTAGCCTTTTCTCACCAATGCAGTTTTCAATTTTCCTAGAACTTCTTCATGATAAGCCTCTCCTGGTAGTTCGTCTCCAGAAATTCTGTCAACATTACCACTTGGAATTAATCTCAAAAGAGTTGTTGCTGTAATTCCCAGTGTGACTTCAATGCCTTGAATTTAACTGGCCTGCAAAATCCCCCAGAGGTTATTTTTTTATTGGATCTTGCTCTCTGGATCATATCCAAGGAGTGTCCCTGGGTTACAATTCATTCCCTAAAGTCTTCATTAGCTTCCGTCTGGTTTAAAGAACTGATAGAAAGATCAGCTCTTTGTGCTAACTGATTTTCTGGGAACTTTTGACACTCATCTAGCCAAAACTCTGCTGAGGCCCAGATATTCCCTTAAAATAAAAAATGCTGAATCATGTATGATCCCAATCTCAATCACACTGATACGATAGTATCAATGGTAATTCGATGACCTCCCTCCACAAATCTGTAGACTTCAGACACAGTTTCTTCCTTTGTCCAGGATGACATTCTTTCCTTTCTTGGCTCATCTTTCAAATCTTCCCAATTTTCCTGAAAGCACTCAGTCCATCTAAACACCTTTTTTTTCTGTGAGGCAGCATTCTCATAAATTTGTGGCAAAGCTTCAGTGATTGAGACGATGTCTACTTGAGTTTTGTTAAAAATTTGACATTTGTCCTCAAAATTGTCCTGGTACAATGTCTTTTTTTTTTTTTTAATTAAGAAACACTAACAAGCTCTGGTGATGTAGTGGTTACACATTGGACTGTACGGTCCACAGTTTCAAACCAATAGCCACTCCTTGGGAGAAAGACAAGGCTTTTCACTCTTTAAAGAATTACATACAGTCTTGGAATCCCACAAGGGCAATTCTACTGTGTTCTAGGGTCATTCTGAGTCAGCATCAATCCGATGGCAGTGAGTGAGGATAAAAAAACCCAAGACAAATGTATCCCTGCTACCCTCTGATGTCAGAGACATGTTTAAACATATTTTGTTCGGGACAAACCCACGCATGCATGTACTGGAACCCTGGAAGCAATATTTTTTAATTGACCCTCACATTTTTATAGCTATTTGAAATTGAGAACCTTCACAAAAATTATGCCACGTAAGTGTTGGAAAACCCTGACAATATGGCATTGCCTATCAAGCAGTGTCAGGGAAAGCACCACATGCAGATCTTGTGGATCATTTCCTCTAACTCTTATTGAAATATGCAACTCTTGTTGAATGGTACAAAAAGTCTTGCTTATTCCAGACTCCTCAAATGTTAACCTTTTACCCTTGTTCTACATTTCATCACGTTTCCTTCAGCTTTCTTTCCACATATGCTTATTATTTCCCCTTGGACCTTCTGAGAATAAGTTGTAAACATGTTGCCCCGATTATAGGCATACCTTGAAAATGCCATTATGAAAAAGTCTGAAATAGTGTGAGAATTACAAGATAACAGAGATGTGAAGGAAGCAGATGCTGTTGGAAAAAAACGGCCTTGTATGCATTTTTTGATCAATAGCTTTGTTTGATCTTGGGTGGCCACAAACCTTTAATTTGTAAACAATGCACTCCGATACAATAAAGTACAATAAAACGAAGTGTGCCTCTAATGCTAAATAAGTCCATGTGTTTCTAAAATAAAAGTATTTTCTTATGATGTTGTTGCCCTCTCAACTGGACCAATAAGCAATATCATGATAAATGGAGAAAATATTGAAGTTATCAAGGATTTTGTTCTACTTGGATCACAATCAATTGCCATGGAAGCAGCAGTGAAGTGATCAAACTACATGTTGCACTGGAAAATTCTGCTGTAAAGGACCCTTTAAAATCTTCAAAAGCAAAAAAATAAAATAAAAAAATCTTCAAAAGCTAGGTGGTCACTTTGAGGACTAAGGTGTGCCTGACCCAAGCCATATTATTTGTCATTGCTTCATATGCATGTGCAAGCTGAACGATGAGTAAGAAATGGATACTTTTGAATTATGGTGCTGAAGAATACTGGATATACCATGGACTTCCAGAATGAAAAAAAATCTGTCTCAGAAGTACAGCCAGAATGCAAGGATGGTGAGACTTTGCCTCAGTTTATTTTAGACATATTATCCAGAGAGACCAGTCGCTGGAGGATGGCATCATGCTTGGTAAAGTGCAGGATCAATGAAAAAGATGAAGACCTACAATTGGATTGACTGGTGCGGTGGCTACAATACTGAACTTCAGCATAGCAATGAGTGAGAGGATGTCATAGGACCTAGGCAGTGCTTCATTCTGTTGTACAAAGGAAACGAGTTGGAACCAACTCAACAGCACCGAGCAACAACATTATTTAACCTATAGATATTATTTATGCTACCAACTGCCTTATTACTGTCCTTTGCAGCAAAAGAGAAGCCCCACTGGTTCAGTGGCTAAGCACTCAGCTGCTAACTGAAAAAGGTCAGCAATTGGAACCTACGAGTAGCTCTGCAGGAGGTAGACATGGCAGTCTGCTTCCATAGAGATTCACCACCTCTGAAAAACTAGGCGGGGATTCCACTCAACGGCAATGTAATAAACACTGCATTTACTTTTCATGTACTTTTAAGTCATCATTAATGAGTGATTTGGGTATTTTTAAATACAGACCATTTATTTTGCAGAATATACCTCATTTTGGAAGCAGCAGATATTTCTTCTTGATTGGGTTTTTGGCAGGCATACCAGAGTGATATACTATCATTGTTCAGAGCATGTCAGGAGGCACATGATATCTAGTACATAACTTGGTGACATGAACTTAAGCACTTGGTTAAGATGGTATCTGTCAGTTTCCTCTCCTATGAAGTCTATATTTTTCCTTTAGAAGTCCGTATTTTTCCTTCTGAGATTCTTAAGCAAGTTGTGGGGAAATACTTTGAGACTACAAAAACTCAGATTTTCACCTACTACTTTTAGCTTCCACTGACATTACTATAGACCAAAAACCAAACTCACTGCCATCAAGACAATGTTGAGTCAGAGTGACCCTATGGTTCTCAACCTTCCTAATGCCACGACCCCTTAATACAGTTCCTCGTGTTGTGGTGACCCCCCATTCATAAAATTATTTTCGTTGCTACTTCATAACTGTAATTTTGCTACTGTTATGAAACGGGCGACCCCTGTGGAAGGGTCATTCGACACCCCCCCAATGGAGTCGTGACCCACAGTTTGAGAACCGCTGCTATAAGACATGAAAGAACTTCCCCTATGATTACTGATACCTTTCTCTCGAGGAGGGGGCTGGTGGTTTGAAACTGCTGACCCTGCAGATCGCAGCCCAATCTGTAACCACACCTGGTCAGAGAACCCATGAATAATAACTATGGTGACTGTCTGATTTCATCATTCATTCTTTACTTCTTAGTCCCCTCTGTGATGAGGTAGATCTTTCTTTTGGGCTCCATTCAGTGACCCATTGAAATCTGATTTTCTTCTATGGATTAGAATACACCTGACTCAATACTAGGATAATGAATTCTGACAGAACACTCATTTTTGCCCTAACATTTCCGAGGACACTGTAAGAAAAGACTGAGCAAAAAGACTTCATAAGATAACCTTCATAGTTCTCCAGAGGAAAACATTAATGATGATAAATCATTATATTATAGATACCCATAACAACTACTCTAGTGAATACTGTTCAAGGAAAATATGTGAAAATTAGAAACTCGGACATTGAAAATCCTAGTGAATGACCATCAATCAATAATGAGATAAAATGGCTATAAGCTGCAACATCTGCTATCTCGGCAAATCTGGCTTGTTTCATGGGAAAGTCAAACTTTTAGTATCAAATATTTATCTTGAGCAGTCACTATCCCATTAAGGGATTAGGATACTAAGATTGAAAATGTGGTTTGTTTAAATTTATAAAACAAATTTATTTCAAAGTCAAAAACAGAATTTAGATCAGACTTTAGATCTTCTGTCATGCCCTGTCCTCTATACTGCTACCCGCCTAAAAGTACCCAATCAAAAATCAAGGACATCTGCTCTACTTTACACTAATTCCACACCTTAAATACCATCAAGACCTCAAAATAAGAATAAAAAATTTTAAAAAATCTAACCATTAGGAAAAGACATAAAATTCAATACTTACAGCTGAGTTGGAATCTCTGTACCGTAGGCAGACAAAAGAGTTATATCACAAAGCAGATCGCCTTGAACAATTAATTTCCCTTTCCATGGAGTGAGGAGAACTACAAAAAATAAAATAAAGGTAATGAACAAAGATATTATTTTCAAAAAAAAAAAAAAAAGAAAGACATTATTTTCAATGATGTAATACTTTAACTAAACACCCAAAGAAATAGAATTTCTTACCATTTTCACAGAGTTCATATCTAGGGGAAAAAAAGAGAGCGTCATTTTTAAAAGATTAAAGGAAACAAAACAAGTAAAACAAAGAATGTGCCCAATTACTTACATGCTTTTATGAGGTTCCATCTTTTTAGGTTCCCTGTATTGAAAAGCTACAATTATATAAGGACAGATCTGTCTGGGTCGCTCAGTTACAGTGCTGCCCGAAAATTCATAGAGGTAATACTGAAAGAAGAAACATAAGTATTATCAGGATTGCACCATTTATTTCAACTCTACCATACCCTGAAATTTACCACATTTGATTCAGAAATATACTTATTCATAGGTGACTATACCTGACTCAGTTCAAAGGCACGAAAATGACTTGTCTTAGGAGAAACCTGGTAAATATGTGTAGCCACGTGGCAATCATAGCCAGAAGATGGCCCAGTATAGTTCGTTGTGTAATTCTCAGGCACAAACTTTACCTTTCCCTAGAATTAAATATTAAGATTAATTAGATGCCTTCATATAGTTGTAAACTTTACTCTAGATTTCCTGTAAATAGTCTAATGAAGACATAGATGTTTCAGCTAATAGTTAACTGTGTTAAGATTTATGCTTACATAACTTGCACAGTTAATACTATACAAGTATGTAAAGACCAATAATAGTTTTTTTAACCAATAATACTTTTACTCATCTATAACCTCCTTAAAACTGCATTTAAAAAAGTGGTATGCCATACAATGGAGTACTACACATCCCTAAAAAGCAGTGGTGAATGCATGAAACACACCATTGCTTGGGAGGAACTGAAGGAAATTAAGCGAAGTGAAGTAAGCAAAGCACAAAAGGACAAGTACAACATGAGCCCAGTAAGCAAAAAAAAAAAAATGTAAACAGGGGCATATGGGAAAAGCTACTATATACATACATTCCTGGGGTGACGTCTAGTTACGACGGCAGGTGCCAAACTCAACCCAGGGATAGATATGGCAGCCAACTAATAAGGAGTGGGTGGGGAAAAGAGGGGTAGCGGGGCACTAACCCACCCAAGGGAAGGATGTTGTTTATATCTCCACAGGAGATGGAGAGGGGGACCAGACTTCAACCCAGTGCACCAAGATGTGAATGCAACATACAGGCATGAAGCAGGGAACCAACAGAGAGGTCTGCAGGGCGGGCCCCAAACCCCAACTACGTGGGCACCCCCTAGCCCCCACCCCAAAGAAATGCACTTCAGAGGACAGCACGGAAGCTGCAGCTCAGGAAGTGGGGTGCATCTGATCAGGAGCAAAGGAAGAGGGAAGGAGAGACTAGAACACACTCCAGCCCACCAAGCCCTGAGGACAATATTCCGGCTCAGAGCAACCAATGCACAGAGAGGGCCACAGGACCGGCCCTGTCACAAGACACGATGACATCCCTCACTGACACAGAGCACTGAAGGGGACAGCACTGGGGGCACAGTATAGGAGATGTGCCCAATCTGACTCCACCACACTGGGGAGGTGTACAGTGGAGCAGCAAGGGGAGCAAAGCAACAAAGTCCCCGAGGAATGCCAAAGGTGGACTTTGGGGCTAGGGCGTGGCAGCCCAGTGGACTCCACTGGGGAACACTCATAAAGGCAGACCTGGAACTGTTTGAGGGCTTTTCAGTTTTTGCTGTTGGTTTTCTTTTTTTCTTTTGTTGTATTAGCTGTTGTTGATTTTTTTTGGTCTTCTTTTTCTTTTATGTTTTGCTGTTTGTTTCTGTGCGTATTATTGACTATGCATGTCTATCTGAAAAAGATCTGCGGATGAACAATCCAGAGGAGAGAACAATGGGACAGATGGTTTGGGGGGAAGCGGGAGAAGTGCCAACAAATCCAGGGACAAGGGAAGAATAAGTGATCTTAAATGGATAGCGAAAAGGGCATAGGATCCTTGGTGGGGCTTGATCAAGGGCAATGTAGCCGAGAAGAATTACCAAAACCCGAATGAAGGCTGAACATGATAGTGGGACGACAAGAGGAAAGTAAAAGAAAATAGAGGAAAGAACTGGGAGGCAAAGGACATTTATAGAGGTCTAAATACAGGCATGTATATATGTAAATACATTTATATATAATGACGGGAATAGATCTAGGTTCATATATTTATTTATAAAGTATTATGGTAGCAGATG